TTTGCTGTAGCATGCTGAATTCATACTTGTCCACCCCCCCCCCCCTAACAAAACTTGATGCATATCATTCTAAAATGCACAGTAGAGTATCATTGTATGGTCATACATATTCATACTACTGTCTCCATCTGAGTAACAAGTAAGTTCTGCTGAGTTATAAATACAAAGGGATGGATATTTCTTGATTCAGAGTCGTTGGAAGAGTTCTGTGAAAAGCCCCATGTCACCATTGCCCGTAGTGCTATCTAAATACCATATGCAAATAACGAGACGAGGAGTTAGATATAACAATACCTTCTATTATTGGTAAGCCGCTTCTGATCAGTCCTTCCTGTAGTCTTTGTGTTTGGCGTTTGGATCTTGCCGAAGATTACTGTTTACTTTGTTTCTTCAGTAAGTCGTTATTATTGTTTTTGTTATAGTTGTTGTTGAAGATGATGTTGTTGTTGTTTTTGTCGTCGTTGTCGTTGTTCTTGTTGTTGCTGTTATTGTTGCTGTTTTAAAAAAATGTTTTGACTGCTGCTGTGACTGTTGTTGTATTTGTTGCTGTCTTGGTATTGAACTGAAACGCATTGGTTTCATTCTCCGATCCAATACCATGAAGTGATATATTTGAAAGTTCTAAATTGCTTAGTACACTGTGAAATCAGAGACGTTTCTTGTTCTTGTAATATCCAAGACTGGACATTCATAATGTAATTCCGGTCATGATTCTGTTTAGAGCCATATGAAAGACAAGGGAGAAAAAGTTGCACACACACTCGACTATAGCGAGACTGCTGTTTTACCCTTCCTTTGTGCGTCCATTATTCCCTCCAGAGCAGCGGGTAAAAAAAAAAATTAGAACAAAGAGTTGCGGCCATGATAGTGCCCATTGTAATATCATAATTTAACGTTGTGAGTGGAATAATTATCTTTGGATGAAAATTCAATTGAAAATACAATTGTTGTTCCCATCATGTTCATGGGTCATCAATCCGTCTGGTCCAAGCAGGTATTATGTGATCCTGCTCTGTGTGTGTAAAAACGTACAATGCGTCTGTCTAGATCCGCCTTGCCGAGTGAACTGAATACGATATTTCCTTCTGTGTTGAGTGTCAAGCGATCCAGTGCATCACCACGTACAAATACCAACCTGTAATCTGTTTTTTTTCTACTCTGTATTGGTTTTGATGGCACGCGTTTTGGGTGATCGAATGTTTTAAATTAAAAGTGTGTTCTGGTATAGATGCTGTTTGAATATTGTAGAAATGCAGAATCAGCGGTACAGACCTTACGTTTTTTTCTGCGATTGGTTTCAATATATCTATCTCTTCCTTGCAGCTCTAAATGGGAAGCTATCGACGTTTGTTGGATAGCACAATTCGGGTCTCCTATCCACTTGTGGTGACGAAATGTAAAAGCTTGGATCCTAAAATACTTGCTTCCAAGAAACAACAATAAAAGAATGAAAGAAAGAAAAAAACGCATAGCCATAATATTGACATGACACTGTACAACTGTTAAAAAGTGTATGAGTTTAACACCCTCATCAACACTTATTTAGGCTATTGAAAAAATCTTCACTTCGCTACCCTAGAATTACACAGCTCTTTCTGCTCGGTAACTGGTTTCGAAAAACTTGAGGATAACAATTTTGAGTTCCACAACATGTCAAGCGTTTTTAAATCAGTTCTTTGAATATCTTGATAACGACTCCGAATAATCTTACGATTTTGATCGAGCAGACAGAACATTTGGTTTCTGACCGCATGGTCTCAGTAATTCAAAACGGCCAAAAATGACAGACAGAACTTGGTAATTCGAAGGTATCGACTTGGCTAAGGTTGATGTGTCCTGCTGTAGGTTATCCCTGTTGCTCTCCCCACAGGATGAGCTCCTCAACCAGCGGCTCCAGATGGCCGACCAGATGCAGCAACTGAGCATACTGGCGCAGACTGTCCACAACATGGCGCAGACCGGGAGCGTCGGCCAACGAGGCCCTGCCACACAACATGGGCCAGCCTCCTCTAACCAACTGAACTTTTGTGTGAGCGGCAACACATTAGCCTCGTCCACGACAAATCTAGGGGCTAACGGCGTTAATGCACACCATACGTCTGCTCGCAGCGTCAAGCGGTCTGCACCCCCGCCCATCTACAGGAGTTTCCGGCGGAAGTAAAGAGAGCAAACTAGCGTCATGAGTTATGGGCCTCACTGGGTTCCACTGAAGGTGACGAACTATGGGTCCCCTAGGGTTTCACTTAACAAATTATGTGACGAATAGTGCTGACTTCATTGATCAAGGTTTGCTCTTGAATTTACGAGAATGAAAATGGAATTACAAGTGATCAATTAATTTATTGTTTCTAAAATCTCTTCATGTCCTATAAATATCCAAACAAACTGTACGGTGACAAGCCAATCATACATGTCTACATCTGTCAGTTTGTCTATTGCTTTTCACCAAAAGAGAATCTATTACTACGAGTTCATTATTTTTTGAGAATGCAAATGTGCAAGAAATGCATTTGCATGTCTGTACATTATGTATATATTTTTATGTTTATTTGCACCTTGACATTGCTTCGTTTGATGGCTATTAAACTGATTTAGCACAGAAAAGTTAAATAATAACTTAGTCTTAAATTTGTTCTGTGTTGTGTGACAGTATCATGGATCTTATTCTTGATTTTCAAGCTTTAAAGTCCGTGAAATTTGTGTATCCCTGGTTTGTGGTTTTCCATAGGGGCTTTTTGCTCATATCTTTCCAACAACGTGGATTCCTCTAAGCACTATATGTCTGTGTCAGATTATACGATAAGATAATATAACATAACGTTTTATCGATCCTTACAAAAAGAAATTTGCTGTAGCATGCTGAATTCATACTTGTACACGTCATCACACACACAC